GTGTGTTGCCTATATGGTGATGTATGGCTATTGTATGGCTTAATCAGCCATCAAACACATTAGTAAACTTCCTGAACAATTCACTGAGTTCATGTTTCTGTGTTGAGTTCACATTGTTTGTTATACAATCCCCAACTTGAAACTTCAAGTGCTCTGGAAGTTGCACACTCGATTTTGGATGCGAGGCAGTGGTTGCAGCATTAGCGAATTTGTTAATTTGTGCCACTCCTGCCGCTGTTATTGTACCAATGACTAGTCCAGCTGGAAAGCTGAATAGATGAAGGTTTATAATTACAGACTAGCACTGGTACAACACCCATACTCAGACAGAAGACTGTTTGAATAAGTGCAGTTTGATTTCCAGTCAGAAAACTGTTTCATGCATTAGCTCTATCACCACAAAACATGTCAACAATGTACTAGACTGTTTCCACAGTACACTGTGGAACACCACTTGCACATTTGGGGGGATTACCACATCCTAATCAATGTGCATGCATGCAGTCCACTGTTCTCTTTCCTAATCTGGTCTACACTGTATGGTTTTGTTGCAAAACTACAGTTCATCTGTTACACAAGCAAAACTGACAGTTTCTACAGTAGGTCTATACCTTATTGAATCCAGATCAGGAACAACCACCTTCATGTATCATTGGTAAAATGAATTCAGAGAAGCAGCTCTACACTCAAATTTAGCTTTTCGCCATTTGTTAGATCAAAAGGGTGGCTTTCTACAGAACCTGATACATGGCAAGGTTGATTAAGGCTCTGACCGCATCAGCATCTGCTAAAAACTCGATATTTTATGCCTATATTTTCATTGACGTGTATTATGTGACACCCAGTTCATGGTTCCCTGAACCAGTCACAATGACGTCGGGTGCAAGCTGATTGCTGCACTTATTCAATTTGGCAACCAGACCCAACTCATACTCTTCTTGTTTTAATGGGTAGGTGCTGCAGTAGTCACTGGCCATCGTTGACCTTCCTGCATCTATTGTAGTTTTGGCATGTGCATTCTATGCTTCTGTCTAACAGCAAAGTATGGACATTTGTGTAATCAATGCTCAAGTGTGCCACAGTTGAAACATATCGTTCTTTCACATTCATGGCACTTTAGGGAGCACATCACCAGCTGAAATGGCGGTTCAATCATGATACCTTGGCTAGAGAAACCTCACTGACCCATTAAGAACCATTGTTGCTGTATGTCATTGCTTCAATGTAAGTGATGGAGTGCTAGGTATATGTTTCTTTTGGTGTTTAGGGGACCTTTCCAGCTTTGGCAATTGTTTCAGGTCTGAGTTTACAGTTGCAGTTGCTAAGGCTCCTGGTTTCTTCCTCTGCTGCAGCATGCAATTCAATAGAACTACTTATACCTATCTGATGTCATATGTGTTAATTCATCAGCCCCTCATCGAACTTAACAGTAAATATTTCATTAAAATCTGTGTGAGACATACTTGAGAATGCTCTCCCATGCAGTCTCCTTAAGTCACCAACGAAAACAGCCAAGTTCTCTTGGGGCCCTCACGTTTCAGTTTTTAATACAGCTCTGTAGATTGGCCTGTACTCAACACGATCGAACTTTTAGTCTAGCTTATTGACAACGGTGTCTTAGTCATCAAGTAGTCTTTGCTTAAATGTTCTTAAGTGTTAATTGTGGGGTCACCAAGACTTAGCATCTGAAATTCCAACACATATATTTGAGTCCATCTATTCCATGTAACAAACTTGAAATGTTTGAGAAAGAGTTATAAGTCCTCTTTGACACCCGTTTAAACTCTGGCAGATTTACCTATTTTATCTCACCCTTATAATTATACAACAGTGTCAACAGGAATTTGTTACCCACTTCTCCACTGTCATGTGGTTGAGAGTTTACACTTTTTTAGAAATTTGTTTTCCTCATGCTGCAGCCTCATAGGGTTGACTCAGCACATGGTAATGGTCACCACTTTGTGTGATACCACACTTCATTATTATATTCTATTAAGTCTCTAGCCACTGGATAGGGTGTAGAAGCTTCCTCTTCTATATATATGTGGAGTCTTTGGATTAAATCTTCTCTGAGATGACTAGACATATGATAGCATAATATAATTTGTGATACCACATTTCATCATCACATCTTGTGGTGTTCTACATCGCTGGATACCAGTTTAGAGTATTGTCAGTTTTCCTTGCCAACTTGGAAGGGTTCCAACTGACTCCTACTACTATGTAATTGTAGTGAGGTGGTACGTACTACCTCTAAAGGCTTTGCAGTGAGACTCTATGACTTTCATCCAGTACATATGCGTCCCTACTCTTGTCATCCACTCTTAGTATATGTTAGTACCTTACAATGCCTTGATTTGCGAAATGAGTGCCTACATGTCCCATAGAGTCCACTCCAATGAGTCTCGGGGCCTTCAAGCTGCTTGACACCACTACAACTTCTATTTCTCTTCTATGCTGAGCTCCAGTGTATATTAAACAATCCTTGGAGGTTGTGCATATGGCACCCAGGAAAGCCTAACAGTTTCCATACACCTCACAATCCTGAGGAAAGAATGAGAATTCTGTCATAGTTCTCGCCATTGCTGGTGGAAGCACTGAATATAAGAAAGTGCTTCTCCCAGTTCGCATTTCAGCCTCTTCTTCTCCATTATCACGAATACAAAACTCGCTGTACAAAGAATCAAAGAGAGAAAGGAGCGTGTGCAAAATAAACTTCCTAAGTCACAGCACCAAGATTATTCTTTCTAACTAGTCTGTGGTGTTTTGTTTTACTGATGTCCAGCAGAACAGGTCAAAGTATTTGCAATAATGCAGGTTCAAGATGAATAAGTGGATATTAAATCAAACTTAGACAGCAAAAAATAAATAAATTTAGAAAAACGTGAACAAATAATATCTTTATTCACAGCAGTGTGTCATCTAGTCTCTCTGAGTTACTGGCTAGCTTCTAATTATTTCTATTTTCACTGGCTGCTGGAATTGATAAAGGAATCTTTCATCGAAAACATTTACGTAGAACCAGGACAAAGCAAGTTCTAATTTACTGCTGAAATTCGGACAAAAGGCTAAAAGTGCGGTATACTAGAATCTAATGCTACACACATCACTATCTATTCTAAACAACATTTATAGAGATTAAAATCCCTATTTCATATTAATTTTTACAAGTATTTGAAATACCATTTGGAATTGGCTTGTCTTTTCCCAAGGGTCTTAGAACATAGGACTAAAGTGATACGAAATTATAGCCATTGGCTTATGTAACTTTAAATGAGTAGAAGGATTAGTACAGTTGTGACAGCGGAGGTCACATGACGCTGATAACACGTCATACGCTTCTAGAAAATTCATGTCTCTTCTTGAAGCCTCGAGAGGTTACTAGATGTACGGTCTTCTTGCATATAAGACCGCAAAGAACTGACGGCAACAACGCAATTGAATTGCAGACAGAGATAGATAGGACAGTTGGGTCGAGCGCGTGAGTCGTGCGTTGTGAATTATAGCGTTTGTTATAGCGTGACCATGGAAATTAAGTGAATTTCAAAGTTGTATTCAGAAAGAATAAACCAGTTTTATTCAAGAAAGGACTTGCATCGCTAAAGTTTCTTCGGAAATAATTTTTACGGAAAATTAACTAACGACCAGAGACGTAACAGTACTATGGTATATCCAAGTAAAACTGAATAAACTTTAGAGTAATGGGATAGATCTGCTTAATAACGAGATTTGCTCAAGATCCTGATTATGAATTAATACTAAATGTCTGAATAACTGAGTCATGAGAATGATTGAAATAAAAATAACTGGATACAATGCGAAACACAAAACAAACAATCTCTATTACAACAGATGTAAAACACAGTGTGTGTACTTGCTTTTACTTACATTGGACGGCCATTTCTTCTGGATTCTCTATATTTATTTGTTCAGGCTGAATCCATGGACTAGACTAACGTAATACAACATTCACAAGAAATGTTGAATTTATCCAGAGTGACTTGTGTTATATAAGTGACTAATCATTCTCATTCAAACATAGGTGAGGCTTTCTATAACCTCTAGATTACTTAAAGAACACTGAAGAGCACTACTGTTGACATCCTTACACAACCTACAATATTGCAGCAACAAGTACACCACCAATGAGCAGGCCTCCCAGTGGCACAGCGGTATGTCTGCAGACTTACAACTATCAACCGGGTTTCGATACCCGTGGTGGGCAGAGCACAGATAGCCCATTGTGTTGCTTTGTGCTTACTTTCAAACAAACAAACAAAACCAATGAGCAGAACAGGTATTACGTACTCGAGAATGACAAAGGAATATAACAACTGAAACAAGATGAACTTAACTCACTACCTGGAAGGTAAAATCTGCACATATACAGAATAAATCTTATGATAACCCCAAAAGATAGAAAGTATTGGTATATTCATATATTACTACATATTTGCGATCTTTCGACAAGTATGTGATTAACTACATGAACATTTATAAAAAAAATACGTGATCAAAGTTAGTTTATCTACTAGTTAGGTTTGTTTGTAATTAAGCACAAAGCTACACAGTGGGCTATCTGTTCTCTGCCCATCACGGGTATCGAACGCTGGAATCTACCGCTGTGCCCCTGGGGGGGGGGGCTACTAGTTATGAAAGGGCCAAATTCACGACTATTTCATTTATTACACGTGTTAACTCTAATTTTTTTTAGGAACGTACAGAGAACTGTTTTAATAATATAAATAAATATTTGTTAAATAGCTTTGTCTGGCTTTCATATCTGAGCTGAAATTTTAGTTATAATAAATTAATCTTTCTATGATTGTTATTCAGAAAGAGAGAGTGAAGAAAAGAAATCTATGCTGAAAACAGGTTACGGAACGGTCATCTTAACAGGACTTCCGGTAGTTGAATGAGGCTGTGTGAGTGACTGAACTCATCGCAGAGAGCTATTCTGCGTTAGAACGAGGTGTTTTCAGTACGCTGGTTTCTTGTTTTAAAAGCTTAACAAACCCTGAGGCGTGCATAATTATGGATTTATGATTTTTTTTATTTTATTTTAGTGTGTGTATGGATTTACGTCATAGAATTTTAAGGATATTAATACTCGTACCGATGAACAACGAAGAAAACGTGCTACTCAATATAACTTGTGCGAACAATTCGTGTTGAGTTTTCTTTGATGAAGCTTGCTGATTATTAAAGAAGCAGCTGTAATATTACTTTTATTGCTCTTTCGTAACAGAATGTTTTTTGAATAAGTTTTCAAATGTGTTGTTTTCACATTTGGAGCTTAAGCGAAGGGAATAAAGCAGATATATCTGGTACAAGAGAGAGAGAGACAGAGAGATGTATATTTTGACACCAGATGGCACAGGCATTACTGTAAACATGAGAACGTCTACGATAAAACTTCCTCAACAGTTACCACTTTTGGTGATCGATAAAGTTTTATTTCCTGGAGCTTCAATTCGAATTTCTGTTGTCTCTTATAGAAAGTATGTATAAATATTAAGTTTTCAATTTTGTATGTTTGTTAAACATATAAATTAAATAATATGTTAATATACGTAGGCCCTTTCTCCCTTAGCAATAGGTTATCAATCATGCTTAGTTAGTATTTCAAATATTTTTAATACGATATTGTAATACTTAATTATAATAATAATGGTAATAGTCAATATATCTTGCATTAAATCAATCAAACTTGTAGTAAATGTTTTGATTAGTCTCTCTGTTTCTATACATAGCATATTGGAAAGTCAAGCAACATCTTGAAAGAGAATGAATGGAGAATGCCCATTGCATAACTCAAAAACTCACAAACTTTCATGTATGATTTATGTAACTGAGAAAGAACAAGTGTTGGTATGTGTAGGGTTTTCAAAGGCAAGTTATGTGTAATGTAATTGCAGTACAAACTGTTGCTTGAGCAGACTGTCTATGATTATTAAAAAAGTGTGTTGTAGCTCTTAGCTTTTAGCCAACATACAATTATGTTTGCACAGGGACATACTATTTTTCTGTTGTTTCTTTTTCCAAATACTTTTCAATTGAAGACTATTCCTTCATTTCTTGGAAGATTGCATTGATACAGGCCATACCTTGGTCTAGTATGTCCAAACACCTTTTTATTTTTATTTAGACCTTTTTAAGGATTTTATGGGGTCAAAGGTAAAACAATTTAAAAAAAATTATATTTTGGGCTCCTGTTCAGTCATATTTACAGCAAACAAGATTAAAATTGGCATAAATATAAATTTTCATGTGCCTAATTCAAAAAAGCTGGATTGGTTCATTTTAAGTCTTTTGAGGAAGGTCAGAGCTCATAAAAAACATAATTTTGGGGTTTTGGATCAATTATCTAGCAGCATTTTGACCAATTTACATGGGATTTGGTTCAAAGACACTTTTTCTATGGGTCCCACACACTGACAAACAAAAATGATGGACTTGCCCATTTTTAGTAATTATAAGGGTGTTGAGATATCACAAGAAGTATAATTTTAGAGTTTTTGACAATTACTCCATGGTATTTTGGCCAGCTTGCGTGGGGTTTGGTACATAGATACCTTATTTGTTTGGTTGTTTTGCAACTGCACTAAAGTAAATGATGAAACTTCAGAATGAATCCACCTGAGAAAAAATCATTTGTAAATGTTCAACACTTCATAATTTGGCAGGACAAAAAATTTAATTAAAGAGTATACTTATTTTAATACTAGTTTACTGTTTGAGCTTTATTACAAATATTTCTTATCTGTTGATCTCTGTAAACATTTCACAGATTTCTGTTGCAAACTTCAGGTTGTTAACAAATACAAAAAATATAGGTTTAATAAGCTATTATAGAACTTAGAAGTACATGCACTGTTCTGAATATATTGTAATGACCTTATATATCTCATGATATCACTACTCTTGTTAAAATTTTCATAGATTTCTTAATGAATTTCACAATTTGTATAATGGTTTGGGAAAAGCTAGTTCATTTGAGAAATCATGCACAGTTAAACTATCACTTAGAAACTTTTAATTATAGGAGTACAGTTTATGCTACATGAAAAGCTATTCTAAATAACTTGTAATTTCAAGAAACTTTACATTTTTAACAAAAGCTCTTGAAGTCTGCACTGTACTTCTGTTACTAAACTACTGTGAGTACCATCTTCCTCTGACTAATAATTAGCCTATAAATATTTCTTGCAATTACTACTCGAAAGATCCAGTATGACCATTATAACATTAACTTTAGACTTTTACTTAATAACACAAAGCTGAACTTCCAACAATATGATCATGTGAGGCAGAGTTAAGCAAGTTTGTAACAATATAATTCTTTAATGTTTAAATGAATGTGCATGCAAATACTGTGTATTCCTGTGCATTTTGTTTTTAAGTAAAATTTAAACTACAGTTATTTGATTTCCTATTTTTAATCCTATTCCATAAATTACTTATTTGATACTCCTGTTTTGTAATACTATAAAGAAAATATGCAAAATCCTGACAGAATTATGAAATCAGTAGAAAAACTGGGATCCTGGAATCAGCATGAAAAATCCTCTTTGAAATTCATGAATCCTAGAAAGTGAAAATACTGGTTGTTGTACACATCACTGTATAAGACCAGTTTTATATTTTATTTTGTTAAAGAATATTCTATAATGCAATATAAAAAAGGTACATGTTGCAGTTTTTCTCCAGTTGAAATAACACTGCCATTAACTTAAGCTAGAGACATCTTTTCAGTGTGAATGACAAAAAGTGAGACATAGTATTTTAAATTTCATATTTTTTAGAAAAAAAAATTCATATAACAGATTAACAAACTGGTTTTTGTAAGTTAATGTATATAGTTGAAAACATTAAGTAAGAAATATATTAGATTGAGAAACAAAGAGAAATTACGAGTTTTCTTTGTCTACAAGTAAATGTGTTGAACATTTTACCTTCATGGTTATTGTGCTTTATTTCTCATGTTCAGTATCAACATGGATTATGGATGTAAATGTATAGAGTCACTGAAAACAAATTTTGCACCAGGATAAAACTTGTTAAGCAGACAGTGAAGGTTGAAAGGTAATATAAACATTACTTACACCACATGATACTCTGCCTGTGTCAGAGTCTTGCATGTATACTGGCAACAGTGCTACTTATTATTTAGTTTTATATTTTACTTCTTAGCAGGGATTGAAAAATACTGAACTGCTTCAGTACCTGATATAAACTGATGGAAGCTAGGAGAATAAGATTACACAAAATGTAGAATCAGGAAATAGCACACAAAGATATGGGATTTGAAGCTAATCCATAGAATTTGGCTGTTTTAAACACAAATGGGAAATCTGTTGCATGCATGTCATTAGTATTTAAGTGTTTTATGTTCATATCACTGCTTTCTTTGTCTTCAATTTAGCATATCTTATGGAGGTTGTTAGAGCTGCATGATTAGTGGAATTTGCTAATCAATTCATCATCAGGCTCATTAATTGATTACATTCAACCTATAAAAAACTAAAAACGCAACAACTACTCTTAAAAATCAGGTTTAAGTACCCATGGTGTTGAGCACAGATAGCTCATTTAGTAGATTTGCTCAACAATAAACATATTGGCAATATTTCAATTACATAAATAGTTTGAGTAATTGAAAATAGTAATATGCAGAAATCCTAATTTTGATTAATTGATTATTTTCATCAGTCGTGACATTAATCAGTTAAGATAAATAGACTTGAATTAATCAAAAATGGTAATGAAAAAATCATAATGGCAATATTTTGATAAATGGATTATTTTGACCACATTTATATATTTGATTGTAATTTGAATTACTGGATAGCTTGAATAATTGGTACACTAGGTGATTATTTTTATGACATTAATAGATTTGATTATAATTTTGATTAATTTATTATTTTATGTGACACTAATTAGTGTAATTGATTAATCTAATTAATCACCCAACTCTAGAGGTTATTGTTAAGAACTTTTTTGTCAACTGTATGTAATGAAAATAGATAATATTGTAATTATTTATGATGTTACTCACAGGTCAGTTTTTGAATTAACTAACAAGTCACTGAATTTTATAGCATTACTCAACACTACTACTTAATATGTTACATATTAATTAGTGAAAATAAGGTGATACAAAAATTAATAATGCTGTGCTTGTGTCAGTGTTATTCCACCACATGAAACTATATAAGATATTTGGTATGGTCGCAGATAAGACATTGTATAGAAAGAGGGGTGTGTGTGTTTGCATTAGTACATTTTGAGAATATTAAACTGTTTAATTAGTTAAGTTATTATGATACATTTTGTATAGACATGGGAAACCTGTCAATTCTGTTTTAGAATGATTTATAGCTTTTTTGATTTCTGTCTAACTTTTCTGACTAGACTTATGGGTTTGATTGTGATTTTTAGAAGGTTAAGAACAGTGCAGTACACGACACCTGCTGGGTGTGTATGCTTGAGAATAAGTTAGAGATACAGTAGCTTTGGGGAAGATTATGTTATTAGAAGGAAAAAATTGAAATTAAGAACATAAATCAAAGAAGTAGGACAGGAAATGGATAGTTATGATAAAGATAGCTTTGGGAAAAGGTAAGGAGAAGAATGCTTGGTACACAAGGTTGCACACTAGTAAAAAAGGTTTGGGCTATAGAGGTGGTTTCAGTTATTGAAGTAGCAGTCTATAATAGATTTGAACATTTTGCTTCTTGGAGTTTGAAAGGTGATGACCAAAAGGTGTATATAGTGGGGATTGGCTGATGAAGTGTTGTATTTGAATGCACAGAAAGAGTAATCTAGCAACCACATTTGCTACATATACATGCTTATAGTAAGTAGAACGAACTCATTTTACACTGTAATCCAACAACAATTATTTTTAAATTGGTGTGCAATTGTCATCTTCCGATAGATTAACTGTTTGTAGTATTGTTGGCTGCTTTATCCATGATAGCACTTACAATTTTTTTATTAGCTAAGTATTTTATAGTTAGAGAGACATATAGTATGTTAAAAAGCTCAAGCAAAAGTATAGAAGGTGGGCATGGCACCCACCAGGGACTGACAAAATTTATTACTTGTTTGTACTGTCACAGAGAACTTTGAAACTTATGTGTAAATATGGGAAGTAAATGTACTTATTGTATTGACGTACATCTACATGACTGGCATTATCTTAAACAAGATTGAGAGTGCAAAAATTAAGATTTTCCATAGCTCATTGGTCACATTACAACAAATCCCTAAGTTTTAAATGTTTTTTAAAGTTTTCTTTTGAAATAAAGGATGTAAAACTTGTATGACATAAAACTTTGATTCATAACATACATTATAATGTAAATTTCATTCACATTCAGTGACAGTAAATGTGTAATTAAATTTTTTAATGTATCTCGGTGACTTACGCAGAAAAGAGTTTAAAGGAGTTCCCAGGATGGAAGGGTTAAAGGATTCAGTGTGTTCACCAAAT